ACCAAGAAAACTAAAAGTAAGAATTTCAGGGTCCATTTTACAGGGAGGAAAATCAGATGGGCCAGCAATCGGCTGGCTCCTCCCCTACAAGGCCCAGAATGGAGGCAGGCAGGAGGGCGGGAGGGCCAGGGGAAGCTGGGAAGCCGGGAAACCTGCTCTGGTGGCCTGGGGAGGGCTCTTTCCCTAGGTTCCTGGCTTGGTCTCCATAGCTGCCTCTCCTTCATTCAGATGAAGAAACTGAGGGTCACAGTGGGAGCATGGCACCTGGGCTCGGTGCAGTTCCCATCCGTGGCGCCCCACCAGCCTGGCCCCACACCATGCCACCCCAGCTGGCAGGCTGGTGTGACGAATTTCTCATTTAACTGGCGCCAGCCCCTTCAATCTAAACTTTCTGGTCATTTGACCAAAGTGGACCATTGTTTGCCTAAATTACATTTTATTAAAAGAAAAAAAAAAATTGGCTAAGCCGATTGAGAGAGTGGTCACAGGACTGGAATGGCTCGGGGCTAGATTTACCAGGGACTGGCCTCAGCTGGCCCATTCGCTGGATTTTTTAGGGAATTTACTTTAAATTGAGCAGAACTCGGGTTCTGAATAGGCCTGGATTTGGAAAGAGATCYGATTCGATTAACTGGTTCCTTGACAAAATTAACGGGGTATTTTTTGGGATTGAATTATGGTGTTTCTTTCAAAACTTCATTTTCCTTTTCTCTCTGAAGTTTTTCTAGATCTTTCCAGGGGCTTCCAGGGGAGACCGAGCCTCCCGCCACTTCTTGGCTAATCCCGCGGAAGGCTGCTTCTTCCTGTCCACGGCGGCCCTCACCCTCCTGCGCCCGGCTTCCTGGTCACACCAGGTGGCTTTCAGGACTGCTGCCATCAGGGGCTCAGCTCTTTGGGGACAGGATCTACTGGTTGCCAGCACCTGGCAGAGACCTTGTCCTCGAGCAGGGGATCYGATCCACAGGAGTGAATTTGACTGACCTAAGCTTCTGATCCCAAGGCCACAGGACCATTCAGCTGGGTTCTTCTCCCTCTTTACAGCTGAATGGCTCTTGGCTCAGAGAGGGGCAGGCCTTGCCCAAGACCACACAGCCCCTGGATAGGGAATGTCAGGACTCCAGGCTCCTGGAGGGCAGGACTGAACCCAGCAGGTATCCAGGCTCAGGAAGAGATGGAGCAGGAAGACAGGAAGGTGGAGGATCTCGGCTGGCTCCCTCCCGGGGCACAAGGCCGAGCGGAGATGGGGTGACAGAAGATTCCCCACACTCCTGGGAGGTGAGGAGGTGGCCGGTAGTCGTGGGAGGAGGACATGAATGTGCACACACTCAGTCAGGCCCTGGCAGATCCCAGGATGCCAGGAATGCCCGGGACTCCTGGCCAGATGCCCCCAACTGCACAGCAGGGAGGGGAGGCTGCTGAGGGGCAGCCAGCTGTGCCCGGGAGGTGGCAGGAGGGTCTTGGAGGAGGAGGTCAATCACCCTGGGAGCCTCCCTTTTTCTGCCTGTGAAATTGGGATACAGATCCTGTCTTTGAAGCCCACAGAGGTGAAACCCACTGCGCAGTATACAGCAGGTGCTCAGTAGAGTGGGGTCCTTCTCTCTCCTCTCTCACCCCTCGAGGGGGTCAGGGTCAGAGAGTCCAGAAAGCTCCTTTTGTCCAGTCTGTTGTGTCCAGAGAGCAGGCCTGCCCTGGCCATGCCTCCAGAAGAGGAAATGCTTTGAACTCCTGGATGCTGATGGGATGGGATGGGATGGGATGGGATGATGGCGGCGGTGACAAGCTCGGGCCCGCCCTGACATTCCAGCAGGTTGGGGCAGGCTCAGCTGAGCACTGACGGTAGCTTCGGGTATCTGTGTGAGTGTCACCTGACTCTGTCCCACCCTTGGGTCACAGTCCTCCATGACTCCTTCTGCCCTGGCTCTTGCTGCCTGGTGACAGAGCACATCCTGGGAATGACTGCCCAGGAGGCCACATTTCCTAGAAGGTTGTAAGCAAAGATCAGAGAAGAGAGGCACTTACCTGAGGTCACACAGCAAATCTGGATCAGGGCAGGACCCAAAGCCCCTGAGCCCCTGATTCTGGCTGATCCTGGACTGTGCACCGACACCAGGGAGGGCCTGGAGTTCGTCACCGTGGGAACTTCAGGGAAGGGGCCCCCACCAGCCGCACGGGAAGCACTCAGGAGGGGGAGCAAGGTTGACCTTGAAGGCTGAGAGATGCCATTCCCAGAGAGAGGGGGAGGGCGGAGGCCAAGGGCCGGGAGGTGGGGCAAGGTGGGCTTCAGGATCTAGGCTGTAGCAGGGGTCCTGCCAGGCTACTCCTGGAGGTGGGCAGGGTGCCCGCAGGGTCTCATCAGGATCTGGCCCAGGGTGGGGCCCAGCGATCCTCAAGAGTGACAGGAGAGGTCCACAGGTCAGGGGCCTTGACCCCCAGACCAAAGCCCTGGAGAGACATTTGAAGATCATGGTGTAACAGAAAGTGTCAGCTGAGGCCAGACCTGAGGGTCCCCCGGCAGGCAGGGGTGTGTGTGTGTGTGTGTGTGACAGCTGGCAGATGCAGGACTGTAGGACTCTGACTCCCTGACGTGCGGTGGCTCAGAGCTGTCATGAGCCGACATTCGGGGTCTTGTCTAGTACGGCTGTGTGGGCAGGGTGGGGTCTGAGGGGCTGGGAGGTGGGGACTGGGCAGGAGGACATGAGGGTGTGCTGGCCATGCCCTGCCTCTGGGCCTACCAGCCCCTTTCTCATTCTGTGTCCCCATTTCTTGTCCTGGCTTTTGGAGACACTCCCCACCCCTCTACAATTTTGGGGAATCTTCTTCTCCTGTTCCATCGGCCCAATTCCTGATCATGCCTTCATTTTTAAMAGTTTTTTGTTGTTGTTTTTGTTCTTTTTAGTTATACGTGATGGTGGAGTGTGTTCGACCTACGGCACCTKCGTGGAGTCGAGCTTCCCAGTCTATGGTGGCGCATGGTGTGGAGTCACACTGGTCGMGCATTCATAGGTGACATAGAAAGTTCTGTCCCATTCACTCTACCGTCCTTCCCATCACCCCCCACTGTCCTCTCTTCTTCATTTTTTTTTAAGTGAAAGTAATTCTACAAGTTGTGGTAAAATAGACACCACAGGAAGTTATTTTTTTAACCATGTCTAAGGTGCGAACTTTACCACCATCGATCGTGGGAACTCCCGTCACGYCCCCTGAGACTCTGCCCCTGTCAACCACCACCTCCCGGCCTGCAGCCGCCAGCACCCAGGAGTCCCCTGCGTCTATGGATCCTCCCTCCCTGGGTACCACCTGCTCCAGGACCCGCTGCGCCTCCCTAGGAGTCAGGCAGAGGCTACCAGCCCTGGGCCCCCCACCCCCAGCCCAGAACCCAAACAGGCGGTGGCCTCCCGAGGGCTCCTCCCCAGCCTCTGCCTCCACGGACGGGCTCAGTCTGGCCAAAGGAGAAACTCTCTGAAGTCCTGATGAGGGGCAGGAAGAATCTCTGGCCCCCTGGCTGGTGGCTCCTTAAGCCTGGGCAGTGTCCGGAGGCCAGCGCCAGCCTTCTCCAGCCTGTGCAGGGTGGTGGGAGAGGGTTGGGGCTCTCGAGGCACCAGCCCCGCCCCCCCGCCCCTCCTCCAAGGCCCTTAGGCTCACAGTGGTAGCCCTGGTTGTCCCCAGCCTAGGGGGCCCGGAAGGCTGGTCTGGAATGCTCCCTGGCTCCCCAACTGTTCGGCCCCAGGTCCCAGAGACCAAAGGGCCTTCTAGCCCCTGGGCCTTATCTTCCAGCAGGGGAAGCTGCCCGCAGGCTGCCCCGTGGTCCACCCCGACCGGCCACTGTAACTCGCTGCCCGGTGCGCTGCACGGTCCGCCTCGGTCCTTCTTTATGTGCTGAGTGGGGAGGGCGGGGGAAGCGGAGGCATGTGGGGTCCCTTGACTTGCCCAGGTCACCCAGGAAATCTCCCTTGCCACCCTCTGGCTCTGTAGCCACGTAGGTGAGCAGCCCTTGAGGCCCTGCCCAAGAGACAGTCACACCTCAGGCCACTCTGACCTGGGGAGTCAGAGTCCAGTCTGCTCAGCAGGCGCCACCCTATCTGTAAGTGGGCACAGGGTGGCCTTGTGGCGGGAGCACCCAGGGAGGTCAGGGCCAGGGCAGAGCTCAGCCGGCATCCCTCTGCCCTGAGGTGCGAAGGGGACAGTCCAGTGGTGTAGACAGGCCTGGGGAGAGGGAGGTTCAAGTGCTGGCCCCGCCTCTGACCCCCTCTAAACCTGGGGTCCCAGGGCTAGCCGACACTGTCCTTGGTATGGGGCATGGGCAGATCCCCTTCCTTTGTGGGATCAGTCTGTCCATCTGTACAGAGGGGTTTCCAAGACCCAGAGCCCTGCTTGGAGTCCTGTGACCTCAGGGGACTCACCTCTGTCCCCAGCAACTTGTCACCACTGGGTCTGAAAGGGTCGTGGGAGACCAAGGAGGGACCCTCGGGGACTGCCAGGATATCAAACGCCCTTATAGAAAGCCTCGGCCATCTGACAGATGGGGAAGCTGAAGCTTCGGAGTGAAGCGACCTGTCTGGGGTCCCAGGCACAAGGCGTCCCCGGCCCTCAGCTCCCCCACCCAGCGCCGGCCAGAGCCAGGGGCAGCGCGTGCCTGCTGCCCCCGTGTGGCGCCGTCGGGTACTGCAGCCAGGCGCGGCGGTGTCCCAGGTCCTGGACGCGCAGGGCGCGGCGGCCTCTCTGTGCCAAGTCCAGGGCSGACGTGGGGACAGCGACAGAGAGAAGACCCTCCCTGAAACTCTGGAGAAGTGACCTGACACGTTCAGTTCCAAGCGGGAAACCAGGGACGCTCTGGCAGGCGGGGTCACTCGAGCAGGGGGTCCCGAGGTTTGGGGGAGCCCCACCTTGCAGGACCCGGGCCAGGGCGGGGGCTGTGGAACTGACCGGGGTGCCAGCCTTGGGGAGCGCGGCGGGACCCAGCCGTCCTTCGCTCTCTCAACTTCCTTTGGCTCAGCAGGACCTGGTCGCTCCTACCCGYCCCCCTCCAGGCACGTGACCCCCGTTAGGAAGGTGTTTAGAGCACTGTCCCAGCCTCTGCCGGAATCGCGGAGGACACTGCGCCTCCCGGGACGGCTCCGGCGCCTGCAGCCCAGGGACTGGGMGGGAAGCGACGCTGAGGCGCGTCCTGGTTCTCGGCCCTTCTCCCTCGGAGGTGGCAGGAGACAGGGTCAGCCTGTGACATTCTCACCTCCCTGGCCTTGCCAACGCTGATGGTAGGAGTGGGGACACCCAGCTTGAGTTTCTTGTACTTATATCTGTCTTTTCTAGATGGCAAGTTAGAAGTGGTTTCCGCTGATGATAGGAAGCTTCCTGGTAAAATAAAGATAAAATCCTTCTTTTCTTTGTGTGGAGGGAGGGGGCACTGGGGCACTTAACCACTGAGCCACATCCCCCCCCCCTTTTTTTTTTTTTTTGAAAAAGGGCCTCACTAAATTGCTGAGGGCCTCTTTAAGTGACTGAAGCTGGCCTCAAACTAGCAATCCTCCTGCCTCAGTCTTGACTTGCTGGGATTTCAGGCATGTGCCACCAAGCCTGGATTTTTTTTTTTTTCAAGCCAGGGATCCAACCCATAAGTATTGTACCACTGAGCTACATCCCCCAGTCCTTAAAATAAAACTGTTTAAGTTAAAAKCGAGTTTTCAACCATTATGTAAAAATAGTTTAGAGCACACAGGTGTGTCCACAGAAGACAGCCGGGTGAGAAGGCAGGAAGCTGCAGGCGGCCCCATCTCCCTTCCCCACTYGGGGAGGGAGGGAGTGGCCAGGGTTCTGGGCACACTTTCCACACAGCAGGTGTCTTCRGAGCCCACTGCTGGCTGGGCCCTGCCTGCGTCTTTCCTCTTTGGTAGGAGACAAGCTGCTGCCGCAGTCCAGGCGGTGTCCCTGCTGGAAGGAACCGAGTGAGTTGGCGGTGACACTGGGGCCTGGCTCCTCTGGGAACTTGGTGTGGATTTGGAAGTGACCTTGACAGACTCCGTGGATTCTCAGCCAGAGCTAGCCAGGGGGGTCAGCGCCTCCCGCCAGCACCTGCTGCGGTCCCTGTTCTGCAGTGGACCTCTCTGAGCTGAGCCAGCAATGGGAGGGCTCTGTAGACCAAGCCCTGTAGGGACCAGTGCCAGCTGGGGCATTTTGGCGAGGGACGCTAACAGGACTGCATGTGCAGGCAGAAAAGGGTGACCCCAAGGGCTCTGGTCCAGGAAATGGGGCTGTGGGATCCCTGCAGGGGAAGGGCTCCYGAGCTTGTGGGGAGCCCCTGAGCTGGAGGGTGGTGGGAAACTCCAGGGGCGCAGGCAGGAAGAGCTAGAGGCGTAGGTGCTCTTGGGGACAGGTTTCCTCCGAGGCTGCTTGGTGGCCAGCCAAGCCCCACTTAACAGATGAGCTCACCAAGGTCAGAGAAGAGGATTACCCAGCCATAAGTGTCGAAGCTGAAAGGAAAGTTGAGCTGTCCCAGCCCATGCCCTGGGAGGTGACAGGAAGCCAAGAAGAGGACAGGCAAACTCAAGTCCCCCATGGAGACTTGCCTGGGTGGCCTTGAGTAAGTCACTTTACCTCTCTGAGCCTCAGTTTCAGAAATACTTGTTTCCCAAAGGGTTGGGAGATGTTATCTAAGTTTACTGATTTACATTTTTGTGGTGCTGGGATGGAGCCCAGGGCCTCAATGCCAGGCAAGAGCTCTTCCACGGGCCCCACCCCCAGGCCCTGGGTGGGAAGAGTCAATTAGATTTTTTTTTTTTTTTTGTACTTGGGGTTGAACCCAGGGACACTTAACCACTGAGCCACATCCCCAGCCCTTTTWAACATTTTATTTAGAGACAGGGCCTCCCTGAGTTGATGAGGACCTCGCTAAGTTGCTGAGGCTGGCTTTGAACTCTGATCTTCCTGCCCCAACCTCCTGAGCCGCTGGGATGACAGGCGAGTGTCACTGCGCCTGGCTGAATGAGATTCTTTTTGAAGCATGAAACTGCCAAACCCAGTGGCAGGTGCCCAGGAAGCMGGCAGGTGATGAGCACACTCCCCCTCCCCTTCCCCTGGCCCCCCACCCCGTGTCCTCAGGGTCACTCATCCCGTGGCCTCTGCTTGAGGCCAGGCCTTGGCTTCCAGAAAGAAGCCCCCATTGATTGAAGGGAGAGAGAGGCTCCCCTTCTCCTATCGCTCATGAGATCTTGAGTCACAACATCACGCCCTGGGAAGCAGGTGCCATCAATACCTGAGGGAGACAGGGAGATGAAGGGAGAGTCTTGGGAATCCAGGCAGCCCCGCTCTCACCACCAGACCGCACTGCCCTTTGCAAATGCAAGGTCATCCTCTCACACGAGCTCCGGGGCCAGGGCTGCAGCCTTTCTCACCAGCATGGCCCTGGCATCCTGCAGGCTCCTACTGATTTGTGAGTGAGCGAACAAAGACAAGCATGAGTGACAGTTTCCGTGTTGAGTGACCCAGAGCATCACCCTAAGACTCTAAGATGCTGTGGAGCTAAAAGATCAGAGGCTGAGTGGCCCTGCCGGGCGCGCGCAGAGGAGCTTCCAGAAGGAAACACAAGGACCGACCGGCAGTCGGCTCGAGGGTGGGGGTGGAGAAGGCAAAGGGAGACTCACTTTTGTGTTTGAATGTTTGCATTCTATCACAACGTGCGCAGATCACAATGTGTTATGATTCTAATGTGCTCCCATGTGCGTGTTCAATAAATGAATGCAGAAGTAAATACTCACCTGGGGAGCTCCCCCAACATGAGCTGTGACTCCAGAAGCATAGAAGCAGCAGGTCTGGGGGTGGCAGGGACCAGGATGAGCTCCCCAGGTGATTCTGTCACAGGTGGTCCTGGACCACACTTTGGGAACAAAATCACCAGCTGGGTCTTCCTTCCTACCGGCCACTCAGCCAGGCTCATTTGCATTATTTTTGCATATATTTGCATGACATCCCTAGTTCCAAATAAAGCCTGTGTTATCCCCTGTCCTYACTTCTGCCGGATCCCCAGGAAATCTGGCCCCTCCAAGAGCTGGCTGGTCTGGACAAACTCCCTCCCCTCAGCCAAATATGTCACTCCCTGCTCCCTTCTCCCGGTCCCCCAGGCCCACAGAGGAAAGTCTGTTCCAGTCCCTTGTTGCAGCCCCCAACCCCCTCCTCTGAATTCCCAGAACACTTGTCCCTTCTTTCCATGTTCTGAACATTCCTTGTGAATCCCGGCCCTTTGCCAACCTGCCAGCCACGGACCCCATAAGACCAGGCAGACGCCATTGGGCCTGCTTTACAGAGGAGCCCTGGGCAGGTCACGTGACTCACCAAAAAGGAGCCCATCTCTCCATCACACCAAGTGCCTGTTGGGCATTTCCACTCACCCCAGGTTAATGTGGTTTGGTTTTGTTTTGCTTTGCTTGCTTTAATTAGGTCTTTAAAGTCACCCAAGTCAGCTGGCACAGGGGCGCAGGCCTGTCATCCTTGAAGCGCTGCAGGCTGAGGCGGCAGGAGGATGGCAAGTTTGAGGCCAGCCCAGCCCGGGCAACTTTCTCAAAAAAAGAAAGGGRAAAAAAATGGGGGAGGGTGGTTAGGAATCTCAAAGCAGAGCACCCCGCAAATTTTAAAAATAAGTAATAATAAAAGAAAATTCCTGAAGCCCCACATACTATGTAAAAACATTCCAGCAATCCAGAAACATCTAAAACGAGTCCCCTCCCTTTCTGCCCCTCTCCCCCAATAATGCTTTCTTGGAAGAGCCACTGTGAACAGTCTGGGGTCTCCTCCCTGAACTCTTTTGCTTTTATGTACAGGGGTGATAGGCGAATCACACAGACAGAGCATTTTAGGGCAGGATATACATTCCAAAGGCATACAATTTAAAGAAAAGCAGGGGACACCCAGGTCCTTGCCACCCCTAAAGATCGCYGGCACCTCAGAAGGACACCCCCGGACCCCTCCTCCTTCCTCTATGATTTTCTTTACAGATTGGTCACATCTGTGTTTCTTTAAATAATGAGTTTGAAATGAGAATTGTTAAATTATCGTGTTTGCAACATGTTCAACTTTATTAGGCAAGGCCAAATTATTTTCTGAGAAGATTGAACCAATTCACACTCCCACCCAGAGTGGATGAGAGTCCCCACTGATCCATATCCTTGCCAAATCTGGCACCGTTCAACTTCATAATGTCTGCCAAAATAGTGGGAGTGAGATTCCGAGTCATTGTGGCTCTAATTTGCATTTCCCTGGTTACTAATGATATTGAGGATCTGTTTTGTTTATATCTTTTATATCCTTGGTGATTCTTTCATCTTCTTGATGTGTCAGTCACTGAAAGTGTGTGATAAAGCCTCTAATTATGACAATGGAATTGTTAATTTCTCCTTGTTTTGCTTTTTACATTTTAAGGTAATGTTATCAGGTGTATAAGAGTTTAGACCTGCTGGATCTTCCTGGAGTTCCATCGTCTTTTTCCGTTCTAATAATGCTTTTGCCTTGAACCCTAGTGTGTCTGACATTAATATAATGACAAATCTTTTGATTTTGATCTTTTTCCAGACAAAGAAGGACATTTTATTGCCTCCCCCTCTTCTTATCTGAGTCAATCACTTCCAAATTTCCAGTTGGCCTTTGCGAGAGGTGACTCAATTTCTTATTTTAAAATATTTTTATTATGGAAACTTTTAAACATATACAGAAGAACAGAATAATAGAAAATGAATCTTCAAGTATCCATCAGCCATCTTAGACATATACCAAGTCAACATATTTATTCCCACTGCTCCTCCTCCCCTGTTAATTTCAAGCCAATCTCATGTCATATAAATTAATCCCTAAATATCTGAATATGTATCCTCTAAAAAAAAAAAAATCTTCCTGGGGGCAGTGGTACACACCTGTAATCCCAGGGCCTCAGGAGGCTGAGACAAGAGGATCGAAAGTTTGAGGTCAGCCTCAGCAATTTAGCAAGACCCCATCTCAAAATAAAAAATAAAAAAGGGCTGGGGACGTAGCTCTGTGGTAGAGAGCTCCTGGGTTCAATCTATACTAAAATCTACACCATTACCACTCTATAATTCCCTAATGTCGTCAAACATCATCTTTCAGTTTGTTTGGTTAGAGACAAGATGTGGATAAAGTGAATAGATGGCACCTTAATCTTAAATCTCAGTGAATCTAGAGGTTCCTCCCCTGCCTCTCGTTTTCCTTACAATTTGTTCATTGAAAAAATAAAGTAATTTTGTCCCTTATACAAAAGTGTCTTTAATGAAATTATAAATATAATGACCTTTTTTTTTTTTTTTTTTTTTTTTTTTTTTTTTTTTTAGTTCTCGGCAGACACAACATCTTCGTTTTTGTATGTGGTGCTGAGGATCGAACCTGGGCCGCACGCATGCCAGGCGAGGGCGCTACCGCTTGAGCCACATCCCCAGCCCCATATAATGACCTTTAACAACATATATTGGACAATATATTCTGGAGAGGGTGTGACGGTCTCACACCCGGCAGAGCCATGGGAATGGGATCAGTGTGCCCGCGACCCTAAGCCCTGAGTTTACTGGAGTGTTACCCACAGTAGCCAGGATTTGGAATCCTAAGGTCCAGCTACACCATGGAATAGGATTTAGCCTTTAAAAAGAGAGACATGCTGCTATTTTTGACAACACTCAYGAACCTGGAGAACACTGTGTCAAGTGAAATAAACCAGCTACAAAAAGACAGAAGCCAACCGGTCTCATTTGTTTGTTGAACTCAGAGCAGCACAGAACAGAGTTACCCGGGGCTGGGGCAGAGGCCGCAGGCAGGAGATATTGGTCAAAGGATACAAAATGTCAGTTAGACCAGGAATAAGTTCAGGTATTCTCTTGTATAATATTATTAATAACAATGTGTCATCAGTCTATCATCTCTACATATTTGTACCGGGAATGAACCCAAGGGCACTCTACCACTGACCTACATCCCCCAGTATTTTAATTTTTTTTAATTTCTTTTTTTTTAAATATTATTAACCGAGAGTGATCTTTTTTTTTTTTTTAAAGAGAGAGAGAGAGAGAGAGAGAGAGAGAGAGAGAGAGAGAGAGAGAGATACTTTATTTTTTTAATATTTGTTTTTTAGTTCTCGGCGGACACAACATCTTTGTTTGTATGTGGTGCTGAGGATTGAACCCGGGTCGCACGCATGCCAGGCCAGCATGCTTCTGCTTAAGCCACATCCCCAGCCCTTGTTAAAATTTCTTAACAGGATCTCACGAGGCTGGGCCTGTGGCTTAGCAGTAGAGCACTAGCCTAGCATGTGCAAGGTGCTGGGTTCAATCCTCAGCCCCATTTAAAAAAAAAAAAAAGGCTGAAATGAAGGTATTTTGTCCAACTACAACTAAATATATATATATATAACCAAACAAACAGGATCGCACTAATTCACTTAGGGCCACTTTGCTAAGCTGCTGAGGCTGGCCTAGAACTTGCCATCCTCCTGCCTCAGCCTCCTCAGTTGCTGGCATGGGCTACTGCAACAACAATGTTTTATATATATTTATATTTTAGTTTTTAGTTTTTGGCAGACACAACATCTTTGTTTGTATGTGGTGCTGAGGATCGAACCYGGGCCGCACGCATGCCAGGCGAGCGCTCTACCGCTTGAGCCACATCCCCAGCCCTGTATTATATTTTTGACAATTGCTAAGAGAGTACATCTTTTGGGTTTTTTAAAAATATTTATTTTTTAGTTGTACACAATACCTTTATTTTGTTTTTTTATGTGGTGCGGAGGATCAAACCCAGGGCCTTGCCCGTGCTAGGTGAGTGCTCTACCACTCAGCCCCAACCCCAGCCCCAAGAGAGTACATCTAAAGTGTTCTCAGCACAAAAATATATATGATGTTACAT